TATAACTTTATTATCATGCACTAAACACACATACACAAAAATTAAAATTATTCAAAGAAAAGCAATACAAGAGAAAAAAACCATAATAATATTCGAGTATAATAGAACCCATCCAAAGCAAAACTGAAAGGTACTTAAACATTTTTCCATATAATTTTTTTTAAAATCTCAAGCATTAACAAAACATCAGATGTGATTTGTTTTAGAAAGATTTTCAAAACTAATATTGAACAAATAGTGGTCTGGAGAAAAAATTCTAATTAACTAGTAAACTCCACATAGGCCAAATTTTTTTTATTTAAATTTCAATACAGTCATTGGACGTGTGATGGAAATATAATCTGAGAAATATGTTATTAGGCAATTTCATCCATGCGCATCACAAAGTACCACACAGAGTGCCAACTGCTAAGCGCAAACTGAGAAGGTATACATCAATCATCTGTGTAAACAGAGATTTTGACCTTCAAAAACCTCTGGGCTCGAGAGGTCTTGGGTACATGATGGTGATGATACTGCCATTCCCAGAGTGTCCACTCTACCTGACAGAGCATGAAATGAAGTAGATGTGCTTCTTGCATGCTCTTCATCAAAGCCCTAGGACAGTGATGGCGAACCTTTTAGAGCTTTCAGTGATACAAACAGCCCACTCCAGCACGCATGCCATAGTTTGCCACCACTGCCCGAGGATATAGTTCCTAAAATAACCCCGCCTTGACCTGGGATTTAGCTCAGTGGCATGGTGCCTGCCTTGCAAACACAAGGTCCTGAGTTCAATCCCCCGTACAAAAAAAACACAAAACCCTGCCTTTACAGTTGAAAAAACTGAGCATAGAAGATGAAGGAGTTAGGATTCAAAGCTCAGAACCAAATGATTCCAGAATCCAGGCTCTTGGCCGCTTCCTTCATTGCCCACTGACAAGTACAGTGATTGCAGAGACTAAAGGGAAGCCACTGGCCATTTAGAACCTTTCTCAATCTCCAGGGTAGAGAATCAGAGTACGGTGGTGGAAAGAGCACCATACAGGCCCCACCAGAACCTGTTGCCACCTGGCCAGATGACCTTGGACGGCTCCCGCTCTTCTTCCCTGTTTTCTCAACTGTAAAATGGAGCAAGTTGAACCAAAGGGATCATGCAAATGTGGGTTGCACCTGTGCTGAGTTCATTCCTCCGCTTCCCTTCTTACTGGGGTCACAGCCCACCCAAGCGCAACCACTGAGATAATAGATCTGGATAAGGTGCCAAGCTGACAATAATCCCTCATCACCCACAGAACCAAGCTCAAAACTGAGTCACTTACCTCGCTATGTCCAGATGCCTCATTTATTTGATTAGCTCCAAAACCTTGGGAAGCCACAATGTTATGAAAGAGCACAGCAGCATAAGTCCATTATCTCACACAGTACTCTTACTCATCCTGTGAAATGTTTTATTATCCTCTTTTGGTAGGTAAAGAAACAAAGTTTGTAAAGTTCAAAGAACTTACCCAAAATCCTACATGTAGGAAGCACATGAGCTAAAACCAGAACCAGTTATCTCTTACAAGAAAATCTGTACCCTTAATCATTTCATTAGTGGCTAATCCTGTCTCAGCCTTTTTCCTACTTGCAAAGGAGAAGTCATACTCCAGAGCTGTAATAACGATGAAAGGGGTCACACATGGACTTCGCCTCCTTCCTTCAGCACCAGGATTCAGTAGACATTTTACAAAGGATAACTATCTTCCTGCTATTTTAAGATATTGGGAAATAAATTCGGTTGGCTGGTTCTTTTTCAGCTATTTATCATCATTCAGATATATTCAGTGTCTCTGAGCAGTGCTTCTCAAACTATAATGTGCACAAGAATCACCTGGAGATGTCATTAAAATGCAAGCTCTGATTCATGAGACCTGAGGTCAGGCCTGAGATTGTGCATTTTTAACAGGCTCCCATGGGATGCCAGTGCTACTAGTCCAAAAACCACACTCTGAGTAGCAAGTCTTGGATCAGCCTTCCCAGCCCCATCTCAGAAACACATTCCAGTAGGGATGCTATTGCCAACCCCTTTTAAAGGAAGCCCATTGCCCTAGCCACCCACCATTGTCCTCCCCCGCCCCCCATTCATCCACACACACCAGAATGGGGAATACAGAGTGAAGGAAGACCATCGAGCATCACAAATCTTGCGGATTTGAGCAAAATGCAGCTGAAGAGTATTGAACTGTGCTAATTAGTCGGGCGTTGGCAATGGTGATTATTTCTCAAGGACTCGTGACAAAAATTCCCTCCTCCAGCCCCCAGTTACCAAGTCGTCATGCACTAGAATCTGCCTCCTGGCTGTCTATGCTCTTGCATAAAAGGTTAGCCAAGACACAACCACCTCCACTTCCACCCTGGGAAGATTCAACCCAGAGTCACCGGGTATTTGCAAGTTACCCAGAATAGAAAGGCAGGTCCAGACAGGAACTAGGGAGACCCTGGAAGTACAGTTTATAGTACCAACCAAAGACCTGAAAAAAAAGCCAAGCGTGGTGGTACATTCCTGTAATCCCAGCACTCAGGAGCCAGGAGGATCGCTGAGATTTCGAGGCCAGCCTAAACTACAAATTGAGACCCTGTCTTAAAAAAACAAACAAAACCTAAAAAAATATTTTAATCACCCACATTCAACCCTGCTCCAGACCCTAGTCATTGTCATCATTGCTGTCATTTACAGAGTTGCCATCACATACCAGGGGTCTTAGAGCTATGTGATTTTTTTCATCATTAGTTAACTCCCCATGGGGTAGGTAGGAGTTGAATACTCCTTATCTGAAATGCATGGAACCAGAAGTGTTTCAGATTTCAAATTTTTCAGATTTTGGAATATTTGCATGTGTAATGAGATATCATGGGTACGGAGACCCAGTTCTAAACAAAAAATTCATTTGTTTCATATAGACCTTTTACATATACCCTGTAATTATATACAACATTTTTCCCATACCTGCATTTTGACTGCAAGCCATCATGTGAAGGCGGGTGTGAAGTCAGTGCCTAAAAGATTCCAGATTTTGGACTATTTCAGATTTTAGATTTTTAGATTAGAGATACTCAACCTATATTATGATTCCCATTTCATAGGGGATGAAAACAAAGCTTAGAGAGAACTAGTCATTTCTTCAAGGCACACAGCAGCCAACCTAGACCTGGCACTCAGAATGGCTAAACTGCATAATTGAAGTTGTAAGGTCAGAGTAAGTGGCCTAGCACTTGGGGCCCAGCACTGACTTTGAACCCAGATGTCTGGGTTCAGCTGCTTCCTGCCTGTTGCACGTACTGCTGTGTAGTCGTGCACCAGTGACCTCACTTTTCAAGTCTTCCTTCCCTATCTGTGAAAATGAGTGTAATAACAATTATAGCAATCTCGTAGGGTTCTTGTGAACATTATATGCAATTGTGAATATAAAACACTTAGCATGAGGCCAGGGATGTAAAATGTGCTCAGTAATGTGAGTGAGAATTAGTACTACAGTTTCACACACTGACTTTTGGAAGCAGGCTGTGTTGGGATACACCCAGATACCACCCCAAACTGCACTCTCCCTCTCCCCACTGAGAAACCTCTGTCGGGCCCTTTAACTGTGATGGGACATGAACTTGCATTAAGAAACAGACAGACATGGCCCATGGCTTCTGCCTGCTGGAGAAGGGGCCTGAGGCTCCAGTGTTTAAAAAGGTAGGAGGATGCCTTTGAGAGTGTCCACAGCAGAGGCTGTCCTGGGCCAAGACCGCAGGCTTAGTTGGTAGTCACCACACAGCCAGGTCCCATGCCCTCACAGGTGCTGACAGCAGCAGAAGAGAGAAGCAGACTTTCTCAGGCAGATGGCGAGCAGGTGGTGCTGTCAGTGGGAGGGCTCCCATGATCACCTCCACCTGGCATGGACCAGAGCCCTGAGCCTGAGGCCCAGAAACACACACAGTGGTTACCTCCCCAGAGTCAGCTACCAAGTCCTGAGAAGGACTACTTGCCAGTACTTGGGTGCAGCCCTGGCTCCTCAGTCCCAAAGCAAAAGCAGGGGCCAAAGGGTCGAGAAGAGTTGGGCTGCTCCCTGGGACACTGCATCTAATGTCTACTCTCCTTAATGCCTTTGTCTTTGCCATTCTTTCTGCCTGACATGATCCTCCCCACCTGCCACATGGTTGGCTTCTTGTCAGCTCCAACATTCCCTTCAGAGGAGCCTGGTCCAAAGAAATCTACCTCACTCCAGACTATCACGTGGTTCTCAGCCTGGCCTCACCTTAGATTCACATGCAGAATTTTGGAATAAATACCAACACCCGAGCCCCACTCCAGACCAATGAAGGATGAATCTCTGGGGAGTTTTCACCTTCTAGGAGCCAAGATCTAGTGGCTCAGTCCACCTTCAGCCTCAGTCCACCCTACTCAAGGCATAGATTATGGTTAAACCTCAGTGAGACTAACAGTAATATCATCTACTAGCATTTACGGGATGCCTACTGTATGCTAGGTGGGTTACACAATTGCAACACTTCCTTATGTGAAAGTTCTAGTTGCATTCTCGTAACAGCCCTGTCAGAGGTTAGAGGGGTTTTTGCAAGGTCAGCCATCCAGGAAGAGGTGATGCTGGAATGTGAATCCAGGTTCACCTACATCCAAACCTGGTGCTCTTTCTTGCCCTGCAATGTAGCATAGAAAAGGGCATGAACTCAGAAGTAGGGAAGATGCAGCATGAACTTGGGGAAATCTCGGCATTCTTTCCCTTCTCACTGTGAGATGAAGGCTCCCTCTGGCTGGCTCCCAGTCAGAGGCTTCCTGCCTCCATCTTAGCTTCATCCCAGAAGATGCTAGGTCATGGCAGCCATCGAAGTCCTCCTCACCAGGTTCATCTCTCCCTTCTGCTCTTCAGGGCAAGGACTGCACCGTGCCCATCAACACCTGCATCCAGAACCCCTGTCAGCACGGAGGCACCTGCCACCTGAGCGAGAGCCACAAGGATGGGTTCAGGTAACAGCTCCCCTGGCTCCTCTCATGGGCAGACTGCTCATATGAACGATGTCAAGGCTTTTTGTACCCCGAAGAGAAAGTGCTATTATTCCTACCACATAGATTAGCAAACTGAGTCATCATGGGTTAAACCTTTTGCCTGGAGTTACAGTAAATACTGGCAGAGGGATTTGAATCCAATACCAGACTCTCCTCTCTGAGCCAGAAAGTCTCCAAGGGAGGCTACAATTGCTAGCTGAAGTCAGAAAAGTATGGGACGCTGGCTAAAAAACCTGCCAGCCTGGCAATCCTACCACTCTTTTCTGCGTTATAAATAATAATAATAGGCGATATCCATGACACTGCTCCCCATGTACCAGACACTGCCTAGTCATCCATCTTATTTAAGTATTCTCATAACCCTATCCAGCAGGTAGGTACTGTCCTCATTGAATGCATGGGAAACTGAGGCACAGAGATTGATTTGCTCCAGGTCACATATCCTAATAGTGGTTTCTGGATCTTCCACCTTCACTTCCAGTCCTCTCCTCGCTAGCATTAAGGTTTCAGGAAGAAAAGGGGGATAGAAACCATTGAAAAGCTGTCCTAGGGGTGGCACTGGGCCTCTTGCCAAACCTCGGGCCCCCTTCCTGCTTCCTGCCTTCCCAGCAGCTTTCAGATGCCCAGGTTCCCCAGCCTCTTAGCCTGGCAGATACAGACCATTAGGAAGTGGCTCCTTTGGCACAGAGGGTTGGGCAGCAGCCCCTCTGCAGTAAAGGCGAAGCCCCTGTGCCAAGCTCTGGGTGGATGTCCTCAAGCTCAGGTTGCAAACAATTACTTATCAGAAGCACTATGGCCAGAGGTTGCTGTGTGGTCTGTGGAAGACCTCAAGTTCTGGGCTCCCAGTTCTCCCTCCTGGGGGAACCCAACCCGCCCACATATCCTGCTGCCAAGCCAGCCCCATCAAACCCTGAGTCTTGAAAAGTGAAACTCAAGGCAGACTTCCTGTTCCTGCCAGGAGTCAGCCAAACCACCCACTTCCACCTGCTCACTGAAAGCGAGTGAGGAGAAATGACACTGGAGTCTCACCTCTGGGGCTGAAAGCCTGGCTGTGCCCCACTGCAGGGAAGAGCTTCCTCTGCAGACTATTGTGTGTCACTCAGTATCTGGTTTCCACCCTAGGACTTTGAGGAGTGTCAAACGAACAGGAAATATGTCCAGACCTTAATTTGAAAGGCAAGAGGCTCAGATCTGCAGGATTCAGGAAGTGGGTTAGAAGGTTAGGGTAACAAGGCAAAGGCTGGAGACACTGCACCGCGTGTGTGCTTCCCAAGGAGGAGGAAGGGTCTTCCGCAGGGTGTCAGCTCCAGGCAGGCTGGCAATGGCAGAGGTGCTTGTCAGAAAGAGATTTGTGCCCTCTTCCCTCCTGGAGTCATTCCCCAGGCCTGCCATAACAAAGGACACAGAGGCCAGCTGGATTAGAACAGCAGCAATGTATTTTCTCATGGTTCTGGACATAGAAGTCCAGACCTCTGGTGTCTGGAGGGCCAGATTTTTTCTACAACCAATGGGAGAGGGACTTTCTTGCCTCTTCCCAGCTTCCAGCATTTGCTGGAAGTCTTGTGCATTCTGTGTCTTGCAGCTGCAGTATTCCCGCCTTTCTTCGTGGTCTCAGGGCATTTTCCCCATGTCTCAGTCTGAACGTGTCTGTCTTCCTAGAAGGATACCATATTGGGTTAGGGATCCACTCTTTTCCAGGATGTCCTCAACTTAACTCATTATATCTGCATAAAGTCACATTGCAGGTAGGGGGCGTTATGGCTGCAACTTACCTTCTTGGAGGACACAGTTCAACCCATGACACCTCTGAAGAGTCAGAATTCTGGAAGCATCACCTTCCCTCTTTATAGATTCTTCTCCAATCTTACTTATTTCCTGTTCACAAAATGAACAAAAGTCAGAGGACAGGCCACGCAGGACATCAAGAAGGGAGATCTGACCGGCTCTCAAAGTCCCCACAGCTAACTTCCTGCTCTTGGAGTCCCCTTGACAACCCCTCTGAAGTTTCCAGTGAAGACAAGGAAGATTGTCCTCTTCCCTGCACTCTGTCCACTAGATAGCAGCCTCTGTACCACCATATCCATTGTCCATAGCCAGGCAATGCTAACACTCTGGGGAGAGCCCAAGGAACTGGCCTTCAGGAAAACTAAGATCTTTGAAATCCAACCCTGTCCCTAAAGAAGTAGCCTTTTTTGTTAACATCCATGGTCCCTAACAGAAAAAAGAAATGAGTCATTTTGTTCTAGTACCTCAACAACTCAGACCTGAGAAGTTCATGGTCTTTTGTAGAAAATGTGATACAGCTTTGGGGTTGTGAGAAGTGGAGGTGACATAGGATTCTGGGACCATAGAAATTCACTTCTTAATAGTTTACTGCTACATCCCTAATCAGCACAGCCTCTGAAGCTGGATCCATGCCCTTGCATGGATTCTGACCAGCAACTTGGACAAAAAACAAGATTCGCTTCAGTGTTTAGACACTCGCTTCCTACCCACCCCAAGCACCTCCTAGCCCCTCGCCCCTTAGCTTATGGGCAGGCTTTATTTTCTATTCCTAATCCTGGGGGCCACAACCAAGGTGGAAGGGGAGATAGCATACCAGAGACAAATGAAGGAAATGCATCCTGCTGATTGATATGCAGGGCTTAAACCAAGCTCATCAGGAGGCCTTAGAATTGGCAGGAGAGGGGTCCTCCCACTCCATCTTTTCATCTCCCAGGAGCTAGAGAGACCTCAGAGGTAGTCGGAATACATAATAAGCAGAGATAGCATCCATAAGAAAGCTTAAGGAGGTGGGGTGTTTTGGATTTTTTTTTTTTTTAGAACTAAAGTTGGCTAACCATGTTCTGAGCATTTTCTGTGTGCTATACACCCTTCTAAGTGCTTTGCTTGTATAATTTCATGTACTCTCTCCAAGCATACAAGGTCAGACAGCTAGGAAGCAGCAAACCAGAATTCATTTTCAGGCAACCTGATTGCAGAGCCGTGACCTTGGGCGTGATGCCCTGCTGCCCTCTCCATATAGAAAGGTGACCTTGGGGTGACAACATCACTCAAGGGAGGGGTGTTTATTCCGACACAGAGGAACCGCAAGAAGGAAGGTTTAGAAGACAGCTATGGGAATTTAAGCCATATCCAGGAAACACTTCTAGCTGGGGAATGGTGGAGATACGCTGCTGATAGGAATTGCCTCCAGGGGCAAGGCAGCCAGCAAGGGCCAGGGGAGGCAGAACATTGCCTCAAGACAGAGGACTAGCTGAAATGACCTGGAAGCTCTCTGTCTTCTGACTCAGGACCCCAAGGCCTTGTGTGTCCAAAATGTTGTCTTGAGCCTCCACGCAAAGGAGAGACCTAACTAATCCTATTTCCCACCCTCTACCTTCCTCTTCACTCACCCCTTCCCTGGCCTCCGGCTCCCCTACTGCCCCTCACACCTAAAGCTGCTCCTGCCCCCTGGGCTTTGAGGGGCAGCGGTGCGAAATCAACCCAGATGACTGCGAGGACAATGACTGTGAAAACAATGCCACCTGTGTGGACGGCATCAACAACTATGTGTGTGTTTGCCCACCTAACTACACAGGTAAGAGTCTAAGGGTGCACAGGCCCGTGTTCATGGGATGGGGTGGAAGAAGTCACTAGAAGAATCCCATTTTATTTAGGGTATCCTTCAAGGAAGAGGAACCCCACCCCCTTTCTCTCTGTGGACAGAGCTAAGATCCCAAGACCATGACAGGCCATAAGGGATGCCCCTAAAACCCTATATTGACTTGTCCATCTCCTGTACCCCCACTCCCACCTCCAGCAGCTCCCTAGCTCCTTTCCACTTTGAAACATATTCCCAGGGCCCTTCCAGCTGTTTGTTCATTCAGTGTCATTGAGGTTGGCAGGAAGGCACATGCATCCCATTTGAGGTCTAGGCAACCCTCTCCAGAAATCTACATTTTCCAGACATTCTGCTAGGAGCTTGGGACATAAAACCAAGCAAGACAAAGTTCCTTCTCATAAAAAGCTCATGGTCAAGAAGAGAGAAACACATGGATTCAGTAGAATGAGAACAAATCCTGTGTAAACCCAGGGAGTCATAGGACCACAGAGCAGAACATGTCCCAGCTAGAGAACATGAGAAGTCTCCTCACAGGAGGTGTAATTTCTCAGGAATATCATTCTACCCACCCACCCAAAAACAAAGGACCTTTATTTCCTACAGTAGCCTCCCCTAATGAAAAGAATGGAATACAGGATTAAATTGTGAAGCAAAATTCCACCAGTTGGTGCAAACACAGCTTACTTTGTTACGAGATCAATCTAAAGTGGCGTGTCCCAGACCAGAATTCCACAAATTCAATGAATTCTTTGAGGAGGAAGCTCCATGGATTTTTTTTTAAAAGAGTCTGGGCATTACTGCATATAATAATAGCGTGTGATGTAAGTTAGTATGTTAGAAGTTCTGAAAAATCCTGCTTTAAAGAAATTGTTCCCAGCAGCTCCCAGACTTAGGCGATCTCAGAACTTCCCTCTAACCTCACCATACAACACCATTACTAACCTAGAGGTATTGTCTTATAAAAACCATATTTTGGAAATGTTGGCCTAAAGCAAGGAGGAAATGAGAATGATACAACTCAGGGATGGCCGAGTCCTTGACCATTAGAACCTAGGTTTATGTCAAGGATGAAATGGGAAATGGGAAGATAGAGGTGATGAATATGAATAGACACAATCCTCAGGACTGCAGAGAAGGAAGCCAAGTTGCTGCCTTTGCCCCTCAGATCCTTTCCTCTGAGGCTTCCTCTGAGTAGCCAGGTACCCCCAACCACACCCCCGAAACTGATGGCATGCCTCAAGGCCTACTGGGAAAACCACCAACCCTGTTAGTCCTGAGCTTCCTGGCTCCAGCCAAGGCTGTGTGCTGGGACAGTGAACAGGCAAATCTCTCTTCTGTCCAAACTCTTCCATCTTCTGAGAGCAGAGTTGTAACCCTAAGTTGCATTAGCAACAGGCAGCACGTACTGTGTACCTACTATATGTGTAGCTAGTGGAGACACCAAGAAATTGAAAGCATATTCTAGCCCACAAGGTGCTTCTGGTCTACCCAAGAGGAAGCACTGGATAGGGTTAAGTCATTACTCCATGAACAGAGGGGCTAAAGATGGGTTGTGTGTTTGCCAGAGGAGGGGCCTGAACTGAATTCACGGCCGACAGCTGGCATTCATCCACTGCCCCGCCAGCGCCCGGGATCTCCTGCGGCCCTGTGCCTGGGAGCAGCATCCAAGGCAGCCTCCTCTCACCCCTGCTCTCCCCTAGCCCTGCAGAGAACTTCCATGGTTAGAAGTTTCTCTGTCACATCACTCTCTAGCTGGTTCCCCTGGGTGGAATTTGAGGTGACTCAAAAGTCAGGCCTTAAAATCCTGCGTTGTTTGGAAGACGCTCTTGTGTCTTCCATACCCCACCCTCTGCATTCCTAAAATACATCTTCAGTGGCGTGAGCTTTTGGGGGCTTATCAGCAGAGGCCATCCTGAGTGTTTATGACCCATAGGCATTTTGCAGCACTGGAAACTTGGAAGGCGGCATATCCAGAGATTCAAATTCCTTTCATATTCCCTTCCCTGAAAAACCCAAAGTGCTTCCTTATTTGCTGCAGATGAGCTAGACTGCTCGGCCCTGTCCACGTTTCAGGCAGCTCAGTCTAACCTCATAGACAAGGTTATGAGTCTCCTTTGTGCTTCCACCGAGTTTAGCCCCATGGCGGCACTCACCACTCTGGGCTGTAATCGCCTGCCTTTATATCTCCCCCATTAAGCCATGGACAAGGACAGGATTGGGTCGCATCTCCCTGAGAGATGCTCAGTAAACCGGTGGGGAATAAAAAATGAATAAGCATAACCCAAGGTCAGGGTCTGGACTGTGATATCAGCCCTGGTGTGATAGAATAAAACAGCAAAATGATGATTCCTTGACAGTGCCCAGGAGAGATCCTGGGATAGCCCCATTGCTACTGCTAGGGAAACCAAGGCAGAGGTACAGAAGGAAGGATACCCCAAGAGAAGAATGCAGGGCTCCTGGTATCCATGATCTTGTGACCAGGAGTGAGATAAGTCTGACCTTCTTGCCTGGGGACCTCTTATGCCTGAGTTCTTTTCCTACTCCTGCCAGGTGAGCTGTGTGATGAGGTGATTGACCACTGTGTGCCTGAGATGAACCTCTGTCAACATGAGGCCAAGTGCATCTCCCTGGACAGAGGATTCAGGTAAGGCACAGCTCCAGTGCCCCAGCACAGGGCCTATGAATGCTGCCTCCAATAGTCTGGACCTAGGGGAGGAATGTTCGAGCAAACATTTAGAAAAAAAAAGGAATTGCTTGGCCCTGCACTTCTGGCACTGGGTATTCTTGGGGTTCTGACAAAGGAAAACCCTGCTAGAACACAGAAGGAAGGTCCGCCCCCTTGGAGATGGGATGTGAGCCAGATAGAATCTGGATGGGCTGAGATGGAGGGAGAAGAGCCTGTAGTAAGGAAGGGTGAGGAAGGGGCATGAGCATGTCTTTCCTTGGATTGTCCTTTTCTGTTTTGACATCCCAAGCCTACAGCTCATCACTAGTGAAAATGTAAGAGGTATAATAGGGCCTCTGGTTCTGCTGAGAACAAAGACACACCAGTCCTTCCATGCACCCACTGCATTCAGATGTACCCTACCTGCCCCATTCCTTCTAAGGTCTGCCCACTGGGACTTTCAGGGAGTCCAGTCACCTGAGTGTGAGAGTGAGGGGTGCCTCCCACACCTCCACTCTCCACCCCAGGATGTGACTTCCCTTGAAGTCCTGTGCTGGCAGGTGGGGCAGAGCTGAATGAAGGGCAAAAAAGGAGGAAAGAAACATT